ATAAAATTTTTACAATCAAATTCAAATTTAGACATACATATGAAATACACAATGAAATGCAATTTAACACAAATTATTTCAATTACAATTAAATTCAGTAGCATATAATATAAAAAATAAAAATGTCACACATAAAAATATTACACTTGCACTAAAGGAATTATGTAATAATGTCCATTCATAATATGGAAATTTTATATCTGATAGTTGTCTGGTATGGGCAAAATACTTAATTTTGTGACAGGCCTTTTAAAGAGACCCTTTGCCATGCGTACACTAACAACTCTAACTCTTTTATCCAATCCGGGTATAACTTCGTCAACGCTACCTAAAATCCAGTGAAAAATAGGCAAATTGTCTTCCTTCACGAGCACCATAGTTCCGGATTTAACGTTACTTTTCTTAAACTGCCATTTCATTCGCTCATAAAGTTGCAATAAATAATCCCGTTGCCATTTTTTCCAAATATTTTGAGTCATTTTGGTGACTCTTTCCCATCTAGACAATCTATTGTCAGACTTATTTATAATTTCTGGTTCCACAGGGGCTGTTACAGAACGACCAATTAAAAAATGTCCAGGCGTTAACGCATTAAAATCTCTTGCATCTGAAGAGAGAGGAGAAATTGATCTGGAGTTTAATATTCCCTCTATTTGTGTTACTAAAGTTAAAAATTCTTCCATAGTTAATTTTGAATTCCCAACCGTTTTTTTTAAATGCGTTTTGAACGATTTAATGCCCGCCTCCCAAAGCCAACCAAAATGCGGTGCTGTAGGAGGCATAAATTTCCACTCAATCTCCTCTGACAACAAATAGTCGGATAATCCTTGTTCTGGTACTTTGGCTAATTTAAACAGCTTGCTTAATTCATTTCGAGCTCCACGAAAGTTTGTAGCATTATCGCTAAATATGGTTGAGCTTTTCCCTCTGCTAGCGAAAAATCTCTTAAGGGTAGCAATTAATGCTTCCGAAGATAAGTCTGAGACAATTTCTAAGTGAATTGCTTTTGTAGCAAGGCACACAAATACTGCAACATACATTTTTTTGAAAAATTCCTTTTCTTTGATTTTTTGCCTTTATAAGAAACGGACCACAAAAATTGAGTCCACATTTGTTAAAGGTTGATTCAACTGACACTCGTTCAGCAGGCAGATCACTTCTCGTTTACTATAACTGTTTGATTGAGGAATGGTCATTGTAAACAAAAAACAGTCAGTCTGAGAATTCCATAAGACACCAAAAGTTTTTACGGATGAAGATTCTTGTTGCTCTTGAAAAGTGTAATCTGAATGAGTGGTAACCTTATTTTCAGATACAAGCAGATCTGGATGATTTGCACGCCATTTATGCAATTCCATTTATCCTAATTTTAACAAATCTATTAATTGGGATTGTAGAATTCTAGCCTTTTCGAGTGATGATTCTCTCTGGAAAGTACGTCGTCCGACATAGAAGTCAGTAAGAGCGACGGACGACGCTAAAGGAGGTAAGTTTTGGCTTTCATCTATAGCTAACTGTTTAAGAGCTCGAGTTGGCTAGATAGGGAGTGTTTGACGTCTCATACGTTACTGTGTTGAGCTTATAAAGTTTGCACTGGTGCGTCAAGCACTGTCCTTCCATAGAATTCTGAGCAAGTCTCTTTGTGGAGGATGGACTAGAAATCTGTCGATACATTTTTTGTACATCTGCTGTGAAGGCGTAGCGGTTGTTTTCTAAATCTAACCATTATAGAAAATAATTCCTGCTGTGGAATTTCTTCCCTTTCAACAAAATATCGTTTAATGACAATCCCGATGTCGTGGCAGTTGAGGCGTTAAAAACCACTCTTAAACGTGTACTACTTTTGTCTGGTCTGTAAACCCCATGGTGAGGCAGGTAGTACGAATCAGTTATGGATTCAGATCCCTCAAAGCTAGTTCCATATGTTTTAAATCTTTGTATTCTTGCATGAATTCAGAAGTACAATCGTTTGTAAATTCGAGTCCCGACCCAATCGTTGCCAAACCTGATTAAGTCTTTTCTCTGCTAAATATCTAGACTCGCCCAACAATTCAGAGTCCTTCATGGGCATGCATACGACGTACTGACCTTTCCGAGGTTCGATAATGAGTTTCATTAAAATGTTTTTCGCAATATTTCTCTTCAGGACTAAGAGCTGAATCCGGAAAATTAATATTTTCTACCTCCCAAAATTTTTGCAATTTTTTCAGTGTTTCTTCAATTTTTTCATTTTGCGTAAGCAGACCACAGTATTGTGATTCAAGTGGTGAATTATGCACAATACCACTAACTACGAATCCAAAAACCGTTTCCTGGAACAATAAGTCTTTTTTTAGTCTTTTGTCGCGCTGCGAACTTGACCCGATTTTAATAAGAAAAATTCTGCACCCAATAGTAAATCAATTTCCTCAGGTGTGTTAAATCTGTTATCAGCTAAGGAAATATCCCTGGGGATGTCAATATTTTCAATAGGTATGGGGGTAAGGGGAGTCATTTCTGTAATTTTGAGAACATTAAAAAAATCAAGTTCTCTAGAGAATGATTTTTCCTTATTGGCAAAGTCCTCAATTTATAATTTAAAGTAATATCAGTTCCATTTAATCCTGAAATCAGAGCGAAAACCTTTGTTTTTTTAATCCCTAATTGTTTTGCAAAATGATCAGACACGCAGTTAATCTGTGAGCAGCTGTCAAGAAGAGCCTTTCCTTTGATGAATGTCCCCTTCGAAGTTTTCATCATAACAATTGCAGATGGCAAGATAACACTTTTATTCATAGCTAATAAACAATTTGAAAGACTCGTCGCCTCCTCCTCATTAGGCGCCGACGGAGAAATATCCTTCCCGCCAGCTGTCTTTCTGCTCTATCGTCTGTGAATGTTTATTTGAAACAGAATCCGAATTCGATGACTCATCCTTATGAAGCAATGTATGATGTTTTGAATGGCAGATATTGCAAAAATGATTCAATCGACATTGACAAGCAATGTGCTTTTTTACCAAACAGTTTAGACATAAGTTATTTTGTTTTACTAGCATAAATCTTTCACCAAAATTCATATCAAGGAATTTATTACATTTAAAAAGGGAATGTGGTGAATTACATATAACGCAGTTTCTTTCCGAATTATTTGAATGAACAAGAAGGTTTTTTTAGTTTTATTTCATTCGTTTGCTTTGATTTTTTTTTTTTTTTTTTTATATTTTCCAAAGTTTGACTTTTTTTTCCTAAGAATGTCATCGAGTTATCGAAATTAATAACATCTGAAGTATTTACCGATAATTCGAATTGTTTTCGAGTTTCCTTGTCTATTATTTTGTCTAAAATGACAGTAGTAATTAAAATATCAGAGAATTTGTTTCATTCGAAACCCAAATTATTTAAACCTCTAATGTTTTTATTCACAGCATCTACTAGATGCCTTAATTCTTTCGATGATTCATGAATAATTTTTCGAATTCTAAAATAGCTTTAATGTGAATGTTAACAAGAATCCTCTTGTTTTCGAAGGGATTTTCTAAAGCCCTAAATAATGATTCAAAAGTATCTTCCTGAGTTTGCAACAATTTTGCTTCTCCCTTAAGAGCGACATGCACATAATGTAGCTTTTGTGCATCTGTTAATTGAGTATTCGAGGTAACAATATTATTAAATTCAATTTTAAACATGTTCCATTCTTCATACTTTCCGCTAAATTGAGGAAGTGGAATTTCAGGTAACTTTATTTTACAACTACTCTTTGCGATATCAACCTTATTAATATTAGCAACATTATCAATTAACATTTGATTGAAACTTACCTCTAGATCGTCGATTCTTGCTTCTAGATCTAATAATTCCTCTTCTAATTCAGAAGTATCATCCTTTTCAGGCACAGCAATATAATATTCCGATCGAAGTGCATCCAAAGCAACAGACATCTTTTCCAAGGCCTTGAGCTTGGCATCTATTTTGATTTTTGTCCATGTGCTGGTACTATCCGCTATGACAGTCTCTATTCTAGTTAGCTGGGCTTTCAGTGAGCCCTTCTTTCGATTTAAAGCAACTATAGTGGCCATTCTATTCTAATACGAACTTAGTTAACAAAAACAAAAAAACTCCGCGAGCGGACCATCAATTTTTTTGGTATAAAATGCTATGAGTTACAAGAGATAATTGCGCTGGTTCCAAAATAAAAAAACTAAGTTAGGTCCACACAAATATTTAATTATTTACATAACGTACAAGGTTACAAGTTAGGTGCTCCATTAGTACAGACAAAGTGGAACGATGGAACGCACCATAGGTCCGCTGCGCACCTTCTTCAACAACCAACTCCACTAAATTCTGCTCCTCTCACAAGAGGGCGCTGATCCTAGAGGGTGCTATATTAAACCAAACAGCAAGTAATATAACAAGTTGACTGTGTGTTATTACTGAAGCCTACCCATGTTCTCTGGAAAGTGAGTTTCTATAGAAGTTTCTTTTCTTTTTGGTTTTCTTCTATACCGTGAATAAAATCTCCATTTTGAAAAATAAATAAATAAATAAATAAATAAATCGGTCAATATTTTTTACAATAATCTGCTTAGAACTGCTCATCATTTAATCTCTTAATGTCAGAAACCTTTTTCTAAACTGTATTCTAACTGCTGTCTAAACTGTAAAAATAGACAATTTGTACATATTTGATAGTTAATGAGTTATTGGGCATTGATAAAGCCATCTCTTCTTACATCTAACATATTTAAATTTTTAAGTATTTTGCTTTGAAGGCTGTGTATGCTTGTCTTGAAAATATAATTTGTGGATTTTTTTATTGAATTAATTGAATCTAAAAACATTTTATAAAATTCTGTGTATTTATTGCTTCTGCATGAAGAACTATCATTAACTACTCGAGTCTTCTAAATGTAATTTATGGAATTTTTGTTGTAATTCATTCTAAAACATTTATTTGATTCTGTGGGGAAAAATACTGTTAATTTTTGTAAAATAATGCTTTATATTATGTTTTTATAGCACTTTGGGCTCAATATGTGGTTTGTGTTTCAAAGAAAAAGAGTTTGATATAGCACCTAAGGTAAATTGGTATTAATTTTACTTGCTTTTGTGTTTTTTATTTACGTGCCATATTTATTCACATAATTTCTTGCCCTTGTGTATTTTCCTCGTAGTTTGTTTAGCATATGATTTAAAAACTTGTGGCTTATGGTAAACTACAAATTAATAAAAGGAAGTATACTTTTTTAAAAGCTTTCAACGACTTTTAAGGGAAATAGCCGTTGGCAATCTATCACAATCGAGCATCGGACTAAAATGGAGAAAAATTCTCATTTGAAATCATTCCGTTCTCTTCTACGCAGTTTATTCCCGATTCTCGTGCAAAGATCCCAAAATATGCTTCGACGTCCCAAAGTAATCAATAACCAGAGCTTCTTTAATCATGTAGGCGTCGTTGCTAAGGTAACCAGGTTGCTAGACAACGCTTTCAGCTGGGACGAAAATAATTTCGGGTGAAGTTGCGTCGATTCAGAAACTGCTTAGCTTCCCAAGAATCCTAATAAAAATAATTTTCTTATAAAGATATAAATACTTCATACTGAAAATTCAGTGATTTTTGAGGGGTGGGAGGACGGGATAATAAAGAATTATCCAGACGTTTAAAAGATTTTGAGTGACGATGAAGCAGCCAATATGTTAAGGTGTTTAGTAAAATATGAATTTTCTAATCATTGTTGCGTAAAAAAATGTATATATGCATATATTTTCCAGATTAAAAACAGAACATATAAATCCTTACTCTTTCACATATTTAAAAAGGCTGCTTACAGCTAATTTTAGCACGTTAATTAGAATAGAAAAATATCTGTTTGTTATCTTAATTAATGGTAATTCCTTAGGAGATGGTAAAAAAACTCTGTGTATTATCGAATAATTCGCATTTTTCGAAGCGTTATCCATCCTATAGAGTTCTTAGAAAGGAAAATCGGAATTGAATTTATAACAAATTTTACGTTGCTATAAAGATAATCATTATAGAAATTAAGTATTTTCCGAAATTCTCTTTATATACTATGCGTAAGCTATGCTCAAGGGGGGGGGGACTGAAAGCTTTCAGATTTTATATTACTCCCCAAAGAGGCATTTTTTTAACGTTTTGTGTGTTACCTTTATTTATTAAATATGTTCTTCGCACTTAAACCAAAAAATTCAATTCAGCAACAATATTGCAAATGATTTTTAAAAGAGCATATCTTTAGAATTTGCGATACACAGTTTTGGAACGCTGAAGATAAATATGATTTTTTTTCCCATACAGTGTTTTCAATACTCGCTTTGAAATCATTGAGGTTTTTAATCAAAAACTCATAAATGCTTCAGAAAATATGAAATAGGGAATAAAGCAAATTCCAAATTTGGGCTTCCAGATACCCATATTCGTACGTTATTCAAAATTTTTTATGGCTCTAGGTAACGTTGTTTTATGACAATGCGAGAAATATACATACATTTATGCAGATTTTTTCATTATTTAATTTCCTTAAATATAATACACAGGCTCTAAAATTTGGAGGCAACAAATTAAAAAGTGATTCGCCGTTTATACTGAATCAAAGGAAAATGCCAAAACTAAATTAATAGCCCTACTGGGCTAACGCC